CTGTGCTGTTGAGCCATCCCCTGTGCTGTTGAGCCATCCCATGTGCTGTTGAGCCATCCCATGTGCTGTTGAGCCATCCCCTGTGCTGTTGAGCCATCCCCTGTGCTGTTGAGCCATCCCCTGTGCTGTTGAGCCATCCCCTGTGCTGTTGAGCCATCCCCTGTGCTGTTGAGCCATCCCCTGTGCTGTTGAGCCATCCCCTGTGCTGTTGAGCCATCCCCTGTGCTGTTGAGCCATCCCCTGTGCTGTTGAGCCATCCCCTGTGCTGTTGAGCCATCCCCTGTGCTGTTGAGCCATCCCCTGTGCTGTTGAGCCATCCCATGTGCTGTTGAGCCATCCCATGTGCTGTTGAGCCATCCCCTGTGCTGTTGAGCCATCCCCTGTGCTGTTGAGCCATCCCATGTGCTGTTGAGCCATCCCCTGTGCTGTTGAGCCATCCCATGTGCTGTTGAGCCATCCCCTGTGCTGTTGAGCCATCCCCTGTGCTGTTGAGCCATCCCGTGTGCTGTTGAGCCATCCCCTGTGCTGTTGAGCCATCCCCTGTGCTGTTGAGCCATCCCCTGTGCTGTTGAGCCATCCCCTGTGCTGTTGAGCCATCCCCTGTGCTGTTGAGCCATCCCATGTGCTGTTGAGCCATCCCCTGTGCTGTTGAGCCATCCCCTGTGCTGTTGAGCCATCCCCTGTGCTGTTGAGCCATCCCCTGTGCTGTTGAGCCATCCCCTGTGCTGTTGAGCCATCCCCTGTGCTGTTGAGCCATCCCCTGTGCTGTTGAGCCATCCCCTGTGCTGTTGAGCCATCCCCTGTGCTGTTGAGCCATCCCCTGTGCTGTTGAGCCATCCCCTGTGCTGTTGAGCCATCCCCTGTGCTGTTGAGCCATCCCCTGTGCTGTTAAGCCATCCCGTGTGCTGTTGAGCCATCCCCTGTGCTGTTGAGCCATCCCCTGTGCTGTTGAGCCATCCCCTGTGCTGTTGAGCCATCCCGTGTGCTGTTGAGCCATCCCCTGTGCTGTTGAGCCATCCCCTGTGCTGTTGAGCCATCCCCTGTGCTGTTGAGCCATCCCATGTGCTGTTGAGCCATCCCATGTGCTGTTGAGCCATCCCATGTGCTGTTGAGCCATCCCATGTGCTGTTGAGCCATCCCCTGTGCTGTTGAGCCATCCCCTGTGCTGTTGAGCCATCCCCTGTGCTGTTGAGCCATCCCATGTGCTGTTGAGCCATCCCATGTGCTGTTGAGCCATCCCCTGTGCTGTTGAGCCATCCCCTGTGCTGTTGAGCCATCCCCTGTGTTGTTGAGCCATCCCCTGTGCTGTTGAGCCATCCCCTGTGCTGTCGAGCCATCCCCTGTGCTGTTGAGCCATCCCATGTGCTGTTGAGCCATCCCCTGTGCTGTTGAGCCATCCCCTGTGCTGTTGAGCCATCCCATGTGCTGTTGAGCCATCCCCTGTGCTGTTAAGCCATCCCCTGTGCTGTTGAGCCATCCCCTGTGCTGTTGAGCCATCCCCTGTGCTGTTGAGCCATCCCATGTGCTGTTGAGCCATCCCCTGTGCTGTTGAGCCATCCCCTGTGCTGTTGAGCCATCCCCTGTGCTGTTGAGCCATCCCCTGTGCTGTTGAGCCATCCCCTGTGCTGTTGAGCCATCCCCTGTGCTGTTGAGCCATCCCCTGTGCTGTTGAGCCATCCCCTGTGCTGTTGAGCCATCCCCTGTGCTGTTGAGCCATCCCCTGTGCTGTTGAGCCATCCCCTGTGCTGTTGAGCCATCCCATGTGCTGTTGAGCCATCCCCTGTGCTGTTGAGCCATCCCCTGTGCTGTTGAGCCATCCCCTGTGCTGTTGAGCCATCCCCTGTGCTGTTGAGCCATCCCCTGTGCTGTTGAGCCATCCCCTGTGCTGTTGAGCCATCCCATGTGCTGTTGAGCCATCCCCTGTGCTGTTGAGCCATCCCCTGTGCTGTTGAGCCATCCCATGTGCTGTTGAGCCATCCCATGTGCTGTTGAGCCATCCCCTGTGCTGTTGAGCCATCCCCTGTGCTGTTGAGCCATCCCCTGTGCTGTTGAGCCATCCCCTGTGCTGTTGAGCCATCCCCTGTGCTGTTGAGCCATCCCCTGTGCTGTTGAGCCATCCCCTGTGCTGTTGAGCCATCCCCTGTGCTGTTGAGCCATCCCCTGTGCTGTTGAGCCATCCCCTGTGCTGTTGAGCCATCCCATGTGCTGTTGAGCCATCCCCTGTGCTGTTGAGCCATCCCCTGTGCTGTTGAGCCATCCCCTGTGCTGTTGAGCCATCCCCTGTGCTGTTGAGCCATCCCCTGTGCTGTTGAGCCATCCCCTGTGCTGTTGAGCCATCCCCTGTGCTGTTGAGCCATCCCCTGTGCTGTTGAGCCATCCCCTGTGCTGTTGAGCCATCCCCTGTGCTGTTGAGCCATCCCCTGTGCTGTTGAGCCATCCCATGTGCTGTTGAGCCATCCCCTGTGCTGTTGAGCCATCCCCTGTGCTGTTGAGCCATCCCCTGTGCTGTTGAGCCATCCCCTGTGCTGTTGAGCCATCCCCTGTGCTGTTGAGCCATCCCCTGTGCTGTTGAGCCATCCCATGTGCTGTTGAGCCATCCCCTGTGCTGTTGAGCCATCCCCTGTGCTGTTGAGCCATCCCATGTGCTGTTGAGCCATCCCATGTGCTGTTGAGCCATCCCCTGTGCTGTTGAGCCATCCCCTGTGCTGTTGAGCCATCCCCTGTGCTGTTGAGCCATCCCCTGTGCTGTTGAGCCATCCCCTGTGCTGTTGAGCCATCCCCTGTGCTGTTGAGCCATCCCCTGTGCTGTTGAGCCATCCCCTGTGCTGTTGAGCCATCCCCTGTGCTGTTGAGCCATCCCCTGTGCTGTTGAGCCATCCCCTGTGCTGTAGAGCCATCCCATGTGCTGTTGAGCCATCCCATGTGCTGTTGAGCCATCCCCTGTGCTGTTGAGCCATCCCCTGTGCTGTTGAGCCATCCCATGTGCTGTTGAGCCATCCCCTGTGCTGTTGAGCCATCCCATGTGCTGTTGAGCCATCCCCTGTGCTGTTGAGCCATCCCCTGTGCTGTTGAGCCATCCCGTGTGCTGTTGAGCCATCCCGTGTGCTGTTGAGCCATCCCCTGTGCTGTTGAGCCATCCCCTGTGCTGTTGAGCCATCCCCTGTGCTGTTGAGCCATCCCCTGTGCTGTTGAGCCATCCCCTGTGCTGTTGAGCCATCCCATGTGCTGTTGAGCCATCCCCTGTGCTGTTGAGCCATCCCCTGTGCTGTTGAGCCATCCCATGTGCTGTTGAGCCATCCCATGTGCTGTTGAGCCATCCCCTGTGCTGTTGAGCCATCCCCTGTGCTGTTGAGCCATCCCCTGTGCTGTTGAGCCATCCCCTGTGCTGTTGAGCCATCCCCTGTGCTGTTGAGCCATCCCCTGTGCTGTTGAGCCATCCCATGTGCTGTTGAGCCATCCCATGTGCTGTTGAGCCATCCCCTGTGCTGTTGAGCCATCCCCTGTGCTGTTGAGCCATCCCCTGTGCTGTTGAGCCATCCCGTGTGCTGTTGAGCCATCCCCTGTGCTGTTGAGCCATCCCCTGTGCTGTTGAGCCATCCCCTGTGCTGTTGAGCCATCCCCTGTGCTGTTGAGCCATCCCCTGTGCTGTTGAGCCATCCCCTGTGCTGTTGAGCCATCCCCTGTGCTGTTGAGCCATCCCATGTGCTGTTGAGCCATCCCCTGTGCTGTTGAGCCATCCCCTGTGCTGTTGAGCCATCCCATGTGCTGTTGAGCCATCCCATGTGCTGTTGAGCCATCCCCTGTGCTGTTGAGCCATCCCCTGTGCTGTTGAGCCATCCCCTGTGCTGTTGAGCCATCCCCTGTGCTGTTGAGCCATCCCCTGTGCTGTTGAGCCATCCCCTGTGCTGTTGAGCCATCCCCTGTGCTGTTGAGCCATCCCCTGTGCTGTTGAGCCATCCCCTGTGCTGTTGAGCCATCCCCTGTGCTGTTGAGCCATCCCCTGTGCTGTTGAGCCATCCCATGTGCTGTTGAGCCATCCCCTGTGCTGTTGAGCCATCCCCTGTGCTGTTGAGCCATCCCATGTGCTGTTGAGCCATCCCCTGTGCTGTTGAGCCATCCCGTGTGCTGTTGAGCCATCCCCTGTGCTGTTGAGCCATCCCCTGTGCTGTTGAGCCATCCCCTGTGCTGTTGAGCCATCCCCTGTGCTGTTGAGCCATCCCCTGTGCTGTTGAGCCATCCCCTGTGCTGTTGAGCCATCCCCTGTGCTGTTGAGCCATCCCCTGTGCTGTTGAGCCATCCCCTGTGCTGTTGAGCCATCCCCTGTGCTGTTGAGCCATCCCCTGTGCTGTTAAGCCATCCCGTGTGCTGTTGAGCCATCCCCTGTGCTGTTGAGCCATCCCCTGTGCTGTTGAGCCATCCCCTGTGCTGTTGAGCCATCCCCTGTGCTGTTGAGCCATCCCCTGTGCTGTTGAGCCATCCCCTGTGCTGTTGAGCCATCCCCTGTGCTGTTGAGCCATCCCATGTGCTGTTGAGCCATCCCATGTGCTGTTGAGCCATCCCATGTGCTGTTGAGCCATCCCATGTGCTGTTGAGCCATCCCATGTGCTGTTGAGCCATCCCATGTGCTGTTGAGCCATCCCATGTGCTGTTGAGCCATCCCATGTGCTGTTGAGCCATCCCATGTGCTGATGAGCCATCCCATGTGCTGTTGAGCCATCCCATGCCGTTACGAGGGATTCAAGTGACCTGTTTACTATCTTCCCTCTTTCCCATGTGCACAGGCCATGAGCGAAACGAAGAAGCTGTTTCTCTTTGAGGCCCTCGAGGGCTTCAAGACAGTGGAAGCGTTGGATCAGACGTACCTCTTCCTGCCTGCCTGCCAACGTGCGAGACGTCTACCTCTGCCGCCTCCTCTCCCACCTGATGAGAACCCGTCCCATGCCCATTACCCATGCCGTTTTCCCCGTTTTTTGTGTGCTTTACCCATTACTCCTTGGCAGGCTATGAGCAAAACAAAGAAGCTGTTCCATTTCGAGGCCTACGAGGGATTTAAGACAGTCGAAGCATTAGACCAAACGTACCTCTTCCTGCCCGCCAACGTGCGAGACGTGTACCTCTGCCGCCTCCTCTCCCGCCTCCTCCCCTCCCTCCCCACCATCCTCCCCCCCGCGCCACCCCTCCCCGCATCTGCTGCTGCCCGCCCAACTGTGCGCTCGGTTATCGTCTTCACCTCGTCCTGCCAGTAAGCAAAATCAAACTGGGAATTGTGATCCAGTAGCAGGTGTTCTGATAGGGTGCTTCCCTCCTCTCCTTGGTGCCTCCTCTTCCCCACCTCTGCTGCTGCACGCCCACTATGTGCTCTGTGATCCTGGTGGCCCTTTTGCCACTGCCCACTGCCTAGGCCCAAAGTCTCCTACTCCTACCTTCGTGCGGATTTTGTTTTGAAGTGTTGGACGTCTCTAGTCTTGGTTCGTTGTGTCTCTCCTCCTGCCAATCAGCCTTCCAGCATTTCCATGGTTTTTTAAATCGGAAAGATCTGACCCCAAAGTCTCCTCTCGTGCCTAATTGGTCGGCTATTGCCCATCAGTTCGCACATCAGGCTCCCTCCTGTCCCTCTCTCCCTCGTCTCCCTCGTCTCCCTCTTGTCATCCACCCTCTTTCAGGTCCTGCCAGGCAGTCAGTGCGCTCCTGGACGAGGTGGGTCTTTCCAGCGCGCCCCTTCACGCCCTGCTCCCCCAACGCAAGCGCTCGGCCGCCCTGCACCACAGCAAGGCGTCTTGACACTCTCCCTCTTCTTCTCCCTCTTTTCTCCTCCTCTCACCCACCCCCCATGTGTCAGGTCCTGCCAGGCAGTCAGTGCGCTCCTGGACGAGGTGGGTCTCTCCAACGCGCCTCTCCACGCCCTGCTGCCGCAGCGCAAGCGCTCAGCTGCTCTGCACCGCTTCAAGGCGTCCCAAGTGCCGATTCTGGTGGCCACTGACGTCGCCAGCAGAGGGCTGGACATCCCCACCGTCGATCTGGTGATCAACTACGACATCCCCAGGTGAGTTGTCTCACTGAACAGGTTTCATCTCACATTAATCCAACGTCAGGTTTCATTCTTTGTCAATCTGACCTATGCTGTTCCCCTGTTTCTTTTCCTGCATCTCAACCCAGGTTCACCCGGGACTATGTGCACAGGGTGGGGCGAACGGCCAGAGCAGGGAAAGGCGGGCGAGAGTCGACTTATTCAGTGCCTTGCTCTTCGTTCTCCCTTCTTCTCTGCTCTCCTACCCTCTCATTTTCCTGCCCTGTAACACATCCCCCAGGTTCACCCGGGACTATGTGCACAGGGTGGGGCGAACAGCCAGAGCAGGGAGAGGTGGGCGAGCCATCAGCCTGGTCACTCAGGTGAGAGTGACTGTAACAAATGGTGCTGCGAAGATTGTTTTAGTGGGAGTGCTGGCTTAGGGGAGTGTGACTGTAACGAATGGTGTTGCGAGGACTGTACGATGGGTAAGGGTGAGAAGAGTGGTGCAAGAGATGAACTGGGCTGTTGAGCTGGGCCTGATTTTCAGCATTACCGGGTAACTTTTGAGTCGACTCAAAAGTCAGCATGGTGCAAGAGATGAACTGGGCTGTGAAGCTGGGCCTGATTTTCACCATTACTGGTACTCACTCCCCCTCCCCTCCTCCCATTTTTCTACCGTACGATGTGCATCTGGTGCAGAGCATTGGGAGCCTCGTAGGCCTCATCTGTGCTGCATGAACATGCCTTCTGCAATAAGCTTCCCCCGTCCTCCCTGCCACCTTCTCTCCCTCCCCCCCTCCCCCACACACAGTACGACGTGCATCTGGTGCACAGCATTGAGAAGCTCATTGGTCCCTCTTGTGTCCCATGGCCCTTCATGCATGCTGCTTCCTCTTTTTCCTCCTCACTTCCCCCCCCCCCCCCCCAGTACGATGTGCATCCGGTGCACAGCATTGAGAAGCTCATTGGCCGACAGCTGGCGGAGTGCACATGGAGGGAGTGTCAGTTTGCACTGCCGGCTCTCTCCATCTCTCCCCCCTCACCTCCCCCCTTCCCCCATGGCAGTACGACGTGCATCTGGTGCACAGCATTGAGAAGCTCATTGGCCGAAAGCTCGCGGAGTGCACTGACGTGACTGAAGCCGATGTGCTTAAATGTATCAGCAAGGTGAGAGAAAGGAGTGTGATTGAAAGCGATGTGCTTAAATGTATCAGCAAGGTGAGAGAAAGGAGTGCTACTATTCCCCCTTGCTGACGATGATGCTCGAAAAGCGAATGCATTATTTCGCTCTATTGTCGATTGTTGTGTTCACTCCCTCCTGCTGTTCAAGTCCTGTAGAGCAGTTCCGGTGTAGATGTGTAACCCCTATACTCTCTGCTTGTGTTGCTAAGTCAAATTCTCGCCCTCTCGATCTCCTCTCTTTCTCCAGATGCTCAAGGCGCGCAGGGAAGCACTGCTGAACATCAATCGCAGTGTCAAGAGCTGAAATTGCCACAATATCAATCGCACTGCTTTCGTTCCTGATTAGTTCCTATCCTTTTTCTCCTTCTCCAGGTATTCAAGGCACGGAGGGCAGCACTGCTGAAGGTGTCAGAGAGTGGGTTTGAGGAGCGGGCCAAGCAGAGGGCGGAGCAGAAGAGGAAGATTCGGGAGGGGCGGAGAGAGCGAGAGGGGAGTGAGAAAGTGAAGAAAGGCAAGTGAGGGGAGGTGCTTGAGGGGAGAGCATCATTGTTAAAGGTGTAAGAGAGCGGGTTTGAAGAGAGAGCGAAGCAGTGGGTCGAGCGAGAGGAGTGGGAAAGGCAAGAAAGACAAGTGAGGGGCTCCTTGAGGGAAGATGATCACTGAATGTGGCAGGGAGGGGAGGGTGGGATGGATGAGAGGGCCGGGAAACAGAAAGGGGAAACGAAGAGAACTTTGTCGAAGAAAAGGTGTGGTGGAGTTGATAAGAAAGTTGTGAGAGCATCGCAACAGAGTGGCAGTCAAGCAGGGCTATGGTGTGCAGGCGCCAAAGTTACTGTGATTATTGGGAGCCTGTTACTTGATCACTGCCATGCCTATTGCAAATTAAACGCGCAAGCTTCGTTTAGCATGTTACGATTCTTACTGCTAATCCATACAACGCTTTCCATGAACACAGTACCGGTACCGTATTCCCCCGGACATACCACCCGCCGAAATAGAGCACCCCCCGGGTGGCTTGTGCGGGGGGGGTGCTATAGCGGGCCTCGTTTCTACTATACCCCCCTTTTGGGGCGATCCGGTATAGCACCCGGGGGGGGTGTTATGTGTTACGAATAGTAACATTTAATTGTTACTGAGCACTCCTCACCGCAGCAAAGAGAAGCACGCAGTATCGAAGCAAGAAAGCGAACCGTCAGACGGTTGGAGTTTGACTCAAGTGTCAGACAGTTGGGGCGCATCTGGACCGTCGGAAGCAGACGGCATCGGACAGCTGCAGGCAGGATGTTTTTGGCGGGAACAGTTACGAAACTGTACGCGCCGCACGGTTGAGAATGCGTTTGAATAAGGGAATGTACCCCTTAGAGTACATGGCTAGCTAGGTCGTTTCGTCTTCCCTGTACTCATATTTATACTTGCTGTATTTGCATGTTTTAATCATCTCAAGCATTTTACATTCACTCTGCTATTGAGGTCACGGGCCCACCAACTACATTTCCCTGTGTGCGAACCTTCCCGAGTAGATCCTGGTGAGCGATCATTCTCTGATCGCAGCATGGTATGAGAGCAGCTCGGGAATCCTTCGCAACACCACTCCCGAAAATTGCGACACTCGGAAAGTGGCGACCGGCACACGCTCGCGTGTGAGAATGGCCGGAGGATCTGGTGGTCAGACTAATCTGACGGCTGAAGCGCGCACCAATCCGGCTGCGACAAGCGAGGAAACGACTACGATCGGCACCGAAGTCCTCGCACAACTTCTTCAGCGACTCACCAGTCTGGAGCAAGGGCTCCAAACATTGCGGAACGGCGACGCGGGAACATCCTCGCAACCAACCCAACCGGGCCCAACTGGGCAGAACACCGTCCCGCAAACCTTCTCCCTCGACACAAATGGCTCAACCCCCAAGGCTCCCCGTCCCAGTGAAGAAGCAATTCTCTCCGCTCAATCAAAGTTTCTGAGCATATCAAAAATAAAGACAAGTTCCAGCTTTGACGGCAAAGACTTCTATACCTGGAGCTTCGAATTGGAGCTCCTGCTGCAGAACGCCCAAATCTTCCATTACTTCGACGGGAGCTACGCCGAGCCTGCCGAGGACACCGACGACGCCAAGGCGAGGTATTACAACGAATCACTGATGGCGTACGGGGTGCTCCTGCGGAACATGTCCCCGGCGGAGCAGCTGAACATTCGTTCGTACAAAACGACAGCTGCTCCAGCCCTCAACGCCTGGCGACATCTGACAGCCGTGTATCAGCCCAAGGACTCTGTCTCCTCGAGCCGACTGCTCCAGGAACTCCTGGAAACCAAGATGACCTCAGGGGAGAAGGTCAACACTTACCTTAACCGCTGTCGGAGCCTTCGCGATCAAATCGTGAAGTTGGGAAGCACGATATCTGAAGAAATCTTCGTTAACATCGTACTTCAAGGGCTCGGCCCAGAGTGGCGGCCCTGCAAGGCGCTTCTCCGACAGCAGGGGGTCATCTCGGAGGCCGCCCTCTGCGCCGCCCTTCTCGTCGAACAAAGGGATATGGATCAGCAGCGACCAGCGCCGCGACGAGAAAGAGAACGGATCGCCTTCTACGCCGACAACAACGAAGAGCGACGTCCGAGGCGCCTCTACTGCAAAATTTGCAGGACTTTCGGGCACCTGGCGGATCGATGTAAATACCGATCTCGCCCTCGCCAGACCAATCCGAGCACCTGGTCCGGCCGACAAGACGCACGAGGCGACGTGCGTCCAGCCCAGGGGTATCAACCCCAACCCGCGCGCAACCTGAACCCCGCGGTTCAGCATCAGCAGCAGCAGCCGCCACCGACTGCCACAGTACGCAATGTCATGAGCAACATGGCCATGACAGGCGAGTCCCGTCGTCGCCGCGTGCGCTCACCATCACCTGAGCCAGCACCGCATCCCATTGGCGCGTTCTCTAACAACAACCCATTCAGTCCGCGCCACGACTTCACCGACGACGACGACCAGGACTGGAATCTCCCAGTCCCGCTGCTTGAGAGTCCCCCGCACGTACCTGACATGCGGGTGGCGCCACTTGATTGGCTCTCGCGCGAGCAATTCCTGAAGTTCGACACTGCGCATATCGTCACGCCGCGACTGGCGCTGCTCGCACGTGACAACAACAAGCGCTACAACACCTGGTACCTGGACAGCTGCTGCGGCCAGCATATGGTAGGCTCCGAGCGTTACATATCCAACGCCGTCGCCACCCCCACAGTCACTTACGTCACAGTGGCGAACAACACGCGCCTGCGCGCAAGCGCGCAAGGCATCGTTGTGCTCAAAGCACGCGGAAGCCGCACGCACATCACGCTCAACGATGTGCTGATCGTCCAGAACCTGCGCTTCAACCTCCTGTCCGCCGCACAGCTCATGGATTGCGGCGTAGAACTCAGCACAGATCGCGCGACGCGCGACATTCTGCTGCACTACGAATCGCGCACCTTTCCCCGCAGGCAGATCGGACGAGCACACTCCGAAAATGGAGTGTACATCCTGGATTTCGATATTCCCGACTGCAGCGGCGACTCGCACGAGCTGATTGACCTCGTGCCACTGCGATTCGAACACATCCACCGCAGGGACTGGAAGCACCCTGACGGCAGGCCGTGGGTGCCGCATCATCCCCACCCACGCGAAACGGAACTTCACAACCCCGATCCAGATGGAATCTGCAGGGATTGTCACACGCCGACGACCTCGACGAGCGCGATTGCAGGCCGCGGACTCGCCGCCATCGCGGAAGCAGAGCGCAACGCGCCCCCCGAGGAAGGGATGTCGCAACTCGAACTCGAAGTCACCACGCATGGCGTGTTCGGCACGCCTGAGCACCCCCTCACAGGTCCCCCTTCTCAACATCTTCGAGGGATGCTTCGTGGAACTGGTGTCGGCACCTTCGATGCGCGTGGCATGCCACGCCCTTACACCCGCGAGAATTTTCTGCAGATTTACCCACATTGGCGCGACCCCACGGCAAAACTCACCGTGGAACAGGAGGAAGAACTGGCGCGCCGCGAAGCCGAGGAGCTTCGCCAACAGAGCCTCGCCGAGGCACGCGGAACGTTCACCTGCGCCGCATGGGGCGCCGAAGCTGAAGAAAGCGCCACCAATGAAGGGGGGTGGGAAAACGTCGGCGGTTGGGGAACGACTGAGGCTGGCGACTGGGCAACCGCAACCGGCGGATGGGGCGCCGCATCTGGCGCTGACACGAGTGGCCGGAGCACCCCTACTAGAGGCTGGGGGACTTCCCGCGAAGACCAAAGGGGGGGAGAAGAAGAAGCTGGAGAGTCTGCAGTTGTTCCCCTCGGTCGTCCCCCACGCCATGTCCCACTCGCGTTACCTCCTCCTGATAACCCACCGCGCCGCGATCCATGGGACACCATCGCCTGGGGCAACGAGCCGTCAACCCCGCGTCGCACCGCTTACGGACCGGCTCCCGAACCACGCGAACCAACCCTCGTCCCTGGAACCATCCCTGGGACCAACATCCCGCTCTCTGAAATTCGTGACAGAGAATTCCTGGCGCTGATGCTCACCACCGCGACAGAAGAAGAAGAAGCAGAGGAAGAAGCATCGGAACCTGCTCCTGTACCTGACGAAGACCCTGGCGAAGCACGCGCGCGCTACATGCGCACCTCCGGCTTTCGCGCTGACGACGCACTCTGGCACCAGCGCCTCGGACATCCTTCTCGCGCAACGCTGAAAAATTGTATCGACGCAGGCGTCTTCGCTCCTGGCGCACTCCTGCGCCCTGATGGCTCCGAAGTGAGAGGCGCAACGCATCCGCGCAATTGCACAGTCTGCCCTGAAGCTGCGCTGAGCCACCAACCGTTCCCGCTGCTCGAACCTGGGACGAACCGCTACCCCAAACTGCACAAGGTGTACAGCGATTTCCTGAACGTGGGGCATTGCGGAGTCGAGGACGAGCTATACACTCTTACCTTCATTGACGCTGGAACACGCTACGTGTGGGTCGTGAACGTGGAGACGCGCGACAGAGCCTACGAGGTGTTTCGGCTCTGGCTAGCGCATGCGGAGCGGCAATCTGGAAAGAAGCTAAAGATCTGGCAATCTGACGGCGCAGCAGAGTTCAGGAGCAACCAGATGCAAACTTACCTGGCGCAAAAGGGGATCGAGCATCACATCTCTCTCCCCTACGCACATCAGCAGCAAGGCGTAGCGGAGCGAACGAATCGCACACTGATGACGAAGGTGCGGGCGCTGATGAAGCAGTCGAAGCTGCCGCCGATCTACTGGACCTACGCAATGCACCACGCTGTACGGGTGCACAACCTGCTTTCAACCACTGCGATTACTGGTAACCTGTCCCCGCACGTCAAGTGGACTGGGACAAAGGGGGACACATCGATGCTGCGCGTATGGGGGTGTATGGTCCAATACCGCCCACCGACCTCAACCATCGGCAAGTTCGCCAGCCGCGCGCGTTGGGGGATCCACCTCGGCATCAGTCACGAGTACAAGGCATGGATCGTGCTAGACCTCCTC